ACCCGGAGGGTAGGAGATCAAAAAATTAAAAGAAATATGACCGTATTCTTTGAAATTCTACCTACAAGTAACTGGTTTTGAAAATGGAACTATTAGAAGTAACTCCCCTATGAGCAGTTAAGGACAGTGAAATTCCATTCCATATTACTTCAATGAGGACTAAAAACAATATCTACAGGCCTCGTGCCCGTTTCAATGATATTATTTATAAAATAAAAGAATTTTATAAAATACAACTTTTCATTATTTTTACGAATAAATAAAATAAAATAGTTTCACGGAAATAGGAAATACACATAATTGTAAATTTAGAGGTCCTGTATTTTGTAAATAATTGAATTTCAAAAACAAAAATCCTTAATTTTCCTGCATATGGTCTTTGCCTGCCCAAAAACTCCAAGGTGTGGTCATCATCGACTGCTATCAAGTTTCATATCAAGTGAGCCAAAGAAAGTGTTACAAACTGTTTTCTCTGAAATCATTGCAGATATCGACTTCTTGTTTTTTCAATGATATGAGACAAGGGGGTTGATCTTTTGGTGTGTGACATTTTTCTGAGGTGACTGCTAGAGAGACAAGGGAGCTCCACTCATTTTTTAAATAGGAATATCGTTTTACTTTTTTTTTAATTTTTTATTCTGTTGAGTTATGATGAAAAATTAAATTACATTCGAACTATGGTTAGAAATAAGTACTTTAAACTATTCGATTCTGTCTAAAATCATGTTCTTCTAGCTATTTATTTGGCAATATATGTACTATTTAATTAGACACGAGAAGGAAGGTATAATTTCAGCATGATCGTACCCCAGCACACAAATGATCAGCCCCCTGTCCCATTTGATTAAAAAAAATTAAGTCAATATCTGCAGTAATTTCGGAGAAAACTCGGATCTGCGTCCTATGAGTGCGGCCGTATGAGTAAATTTTTCTAGTAACTTGGGTCGCAAGCCATTAGTTGAGAAAAAAGGTCGTCACAAGTTTAAAGAAACGTTACAGTCCTTTCTCAGTGGGACGTAAACGTGAAAGACGAGCCATATGTCTGAATGTCCACGAAATGTCTCCAGGTAGCTCGTAGACTGCCTGTGGACAGTGTCGGCAGCCAGTCCTCCGACTGTCCGGAGACATCAAAAGACTTCGTCCGGGGACCCGTGTCCGCCGACAAATGTCCTAGGTGTAGACGGACTAGGTGGTTACAGAGTGGCGTGGGTCTTTTTTCCACTAAACCTCTCAATCTCACACCCATCAATTACGAAAATACTTAACAATGACTAGCTATAGTAGATCCTGCAGAAATATTCTTTACTGCACTCTTCCTTAACACTGAACCTACCACGACTGGTCAAATGATCGGTTTTGCCGTTTTAATTCCTCTTTTCTGAAGGGTTCGGTAGGTTTAGTGTTAATAACTTTTAAGAAATTTAAATTAAAACAAGATCTATTCTTTCTGTGAAGGGTTTTATTGTAATAATAGTAATGCAAAAATTTAAAGAATCATATGATAATTCGTACATTATTGCATTTTACACATTTTCGTACGCTACGAACGTATGCGAATCATAATTTGCTTGCAATAACTAAGGTCAATGTCCCTACTTCTAATCACGTCCCGATTTCTGCTCAGTACGTACATATTTTATTTAATGTAAAAAGTTAGACACTAAATTAGTTATATAAAAAATTATTTAAATTAGTTCAGTATTTCTGTACAAAATGCTACAGCCCGCTGTTCAATAAACGCTGTTAAATAATGCCATTTTAATAGAAATAAATTTAATAAGTATGTTCGTCGTGAAATTACACGTGGAAACTGCGTTTTCACTAAAAAAAACTTACGCAATCTTTAATATTGTCCGCCAAAGATTGGTTTTGGCACTTCGATTTTCGCTAAGCAAAAATTGGGACATGCTTGTGAGCACAGATGTGAGCACAGGTGTGAGCACTTTCATTTTCGCTGAGCAAAAATAGGGACATTTTATACTTCACATTAAATTAACTATTATTAAGATAAAATGTTTTTAAAAATACAATTTTTATTCAATGCATTACTTAAACGATTCTTTTTACATTTTTAATGTCTTTTTAGGAAGTCAGAAAATGAAAATAATCGTAGACTGTGAAACTTCATGGAAATTTAGATCCTTCTATAGTACTTTCCAAACCCAGAGGAAGTAGTCAGTTTTATATTTCAAACACTTTGTCGAGTTCAAAGTAAAACGGAAAATGTATTGAACTTAACTGAACTTATTTAATCACATTTTATATTGTCGTGTAACTATAAACACATAAAATTCACAATGTACAATAGTAGTTATTACTTATATTTTTCAATTCAAAACACGATGAATCCTGTGAAACTGTGTACAGAATTCTGAAAACGATTGCGTAATCAGGATGTGATTATACAGTATAAAACTCTTTAGAAAAATAAGTTGTAACTGCTGTTACTCTCTAAAGCAGACCATTTTCTGCAAGGAAAGTTGTTCATCGATCTTCATTCTCCAATAATTTTTATATTAAACGTGCCTATGAATACTGTATCATTTTACTATTTATCCTTTTCTTTTCTTAGAAAAAAATCAAATATGCTGTTTAATTTAAAAATAATCATTACTGTTTTCCAAATAAGTGGTCGAAAAAATATATTAAATTGAAACTGTATTGCTATATTATTAAGACAAATAGTATATTCTGTTACATGCAATGAAAAGTTTTGATTTTAAGGAATCGTTCCCGCTTTTAAGATTCAAATTTAACACACTGACACTCTAATCATCCGATTCCTAATGCTCTAAAAACTAATCGTACTATTATTATTTTCTTTTATCTTTCAATGTACATTTGCCCCAATATTTATTTTACAGTTATTACGAACTTCAGTTCTTGCGACAATTTAACTACAAAAATGAATTACTTCAAATTTTAGCAAATTTAAAAATCTAAAATCCGGTGTACTGATTTTTAAGTCTTATGTTAAAACGAAAAACAAGCTCGTATGTCACTCTTGTGATATAGAAGGCCCCTAGCTTCGTTAATTTATGTAACTTTAACTTGAAATGTGAGAAAAATATTTTAATGAAATCAAACATTTAGAAAACGTAGAAATAGAAAAATTGTTTTTTTTTACAGAAAAAGCGAGATGTCATCTAAATAACACGCTGAACAAGTCATAAATAAATATCCATACAAAAAATGTAAACTAATAAAAAACCATTGTCTGGATAAATAGTCTACGGTACAATTTGAGCAAACTTGTGGCCTAGTGGGTTAACAAGTTTAGGAGGCTGGAACTGGAACTATTTTTAAACGAAACGGAGTGAAATTGAAAAATCAGTACACTGAAATTCGCGAGGAACCGATAATGCAACATAATCTTAAATATCTATGAAATCGTTACGCTCCAATGATTGTCATGGAAAAAGGCATTCAGTCGAAGATTCAGAAATAAGTAATCGTGCATATTGCTCTGTCGATAAGCTGTGGATGTTTGCGCGTTTATAGCATAGCTAAATGTTTGAAACAATGGAATACAGAATTTCATGAAATTTCATTTGCAAGTAGACAATTAAACATAAAACCATAAGTGGAAGAAATAACTTCCTCTTTAATTCTCGTTTTCATAAATTGATGTATGCAAGTCTGAATTAATACAAGTACTCACAGTCCGCTTATGAGTTTTATGGTTTATAGTTTTTCCAGAAGTATAAAACAGGTCATTAAAACTTTCTGAATCCACACTTTCCGCATTAATATTCCAGTAGAATCATTGTATATAGCTGTCATCGTGTTCGAATATACATATTGGTACACCGCTTACATATGTATACGTTACCCCGATAACGCGTTAGATGCACTTGGACAAACTATGGGCAAACTATCGCCAGATATGTACTAGCACTTGCTAACGCGTATAATGTTTTTCTGTTTCAAACACATTTCGAAACTAAAATATTACAATGGCATAAGCATCGAATGAATATATTAATATGATACCATACTGAATTCACATAATTATTTCCGAATGATTTTACGGATAAAATAACCCGCATACATAATTAACAGGTTAGAAATACATAATGTAATTCACGAACAAAAGAATAAAATATAAATCTATTTACTAGCGGTTTCATTATAACATTCTAACTGTGTTTTGTGTTTTGCAGATAGATATGCTATAAATGCGTAAAATTTATTGCAAATAAATTGAACAAACAACTTCCTATCGTAATATTTAAAAAAGCGTTTACAATAATCTGAAAAATACGATATATTATATAGATGTTTAACAAATAGATTAGAAGTCACATGTTTGTAAGAAACATATATATTATTTTTATTTTTTAATTTTATACTAGATAAATTCTTTGACAAATCATTTAAGTGTAATACAACTCAGAAGACCTATATTATATTGATATTTGAACTAACAATCGTCACTCCATTCCATTTTATAATTTATTTATGAATGTATAAACTACTGTATACTAACGAATTTATTAATATTTTGTTCCCATTAACTTGTATTTTCAATTTCGACTGTACTTCGTCTGATATCTAGTAATGTAGTTATCGACAAACCGATCTTCTTAGATTTTGTATAATAAATTATTTCATATCAATTTAAATTTACATCGAAGTTTTCTTTCGGAATTTTAAAAGAAATAATAATCGTGCACAGCATATTGATCATACGCGTACGTTTCCGAAGACAACAATGACACCATGGTGTCACATACCAATGACAACATTAGCAACTGTACTAATATACTTTCATTTTCATAATGAGACAACTATCACTCTAATGAGACAGCTCGTCATACTGTATAAATAGAGAATTTCGATCAAGTGTAAAAATAAACTTTAGAGTTTTATACATTTCGAATAACGCGGTTCTCAATACGCATATGTTTTTTGTACAGTTAATAACGGCCACATATAATTCAAACTGAATGAATAATATTCTTGACATTTGATAAACGAGTAATCTTGTTATCACTGACCTTCTTTACTTGAAAGTGTTCCGACCGTAAATTTTCGACGATTTCCTGGTCAGGTTTGACGGGTTGGGGCACCGACGATCGGAACCCGTCGAGCACACCTTTAATTGTAAACTTCTTCATTACGAACCGAAGATAACACCCAAAGGATCACATGTGCAGCAGCGACACAAATTCAACTCTTCCTAAAGTTCAGAGTCAAGATACTAAGTATGCGTATACGTGTTTTTTTATGAATTCAATTAAGAAAGATAAATAGAAATATTTTAATGGCAGAGAAATCCGTCACGTTCTATCTACGTGTTCCTTCTATCGCAGAAAACTACCGATGACATCTTTCCGTATCAATGGCAAATGTCACTCATCGATATTTTCAGCTTCAGGGGACCGTCTCTACATTTTGACAGAACAACGATGACGATGACGTCGATGAGACACGGCACATTTCGATATCGCAGTGTCTTCGTGGATATAGAGGCGCACACGTTACCGTAACCGTTCGACGCCGCGTTTTTCCAAACGTTTCGTGACTAGAATTGTTTTCGTAGTTGACAGCAATGCAGTGTTGTTTAACCGTGTCAGGATCAATAACTGGCAACAGGCTCATGTGGACTCTCGCACGACCGCTAACGTACTCTGTGCGCAATCGTGAACAAAACTTTATGGCAGATTTTTATGCCAGGTTCTTACGGTTAGAAAGATGGCAGACATGCTAAATTTAACCGTTCTAGGGATATTTATACAGTGTAGCGTAGTGATGGGCACTGATGGGTAAATCCCTATGAAACCAAGTTATTTACGTTACCACAGCCGACTCTAGTACTAGCCGTGCTGAACAACGTGGCAACACTGCTCATGACGGTTCGGGAGTCCATTTTCAAGGATAGAGTTTTGTGCTCAGTGTTATAATTATCGTTATTTTTTACATAAAATCATACTAATAAACAGTATTTTTGATTAATTATGCATAAGGAATACATAAATATCATAACTATAGTAAGTAGATTAATTATTAATTGGTAGTGTTGGCTACCAATCGCAGGGCGTAGCCAACGGATACGATACGCTACCGCGGGAGGTCTACCGATAGACTCGCGCTCTGATTGGTCGGGGGTTTTCGTTAATATCTCGTTAACAAAACCTCGGATAACATTTTCGCTAAGGAAAAATTGCTTCAAATCACCTCAGGAACCCCTCATTTCCGAAAGTCGAAGCTACTTTGGGCGTATTTTACGTATCATAGATATATATGTATAATAGACTGTGCGGTCTTATGGTACGGATAAAGTCGGCACTAGAAAGAGAAGACAATAACTGGAGTATACAAGTAAATACGAGTACATTACTCGATACTTTTGTTTCGATACCGAGTACTTATGGTATCGATACATACGGTTGCGATACCAAGTAGGTATCGAGAAGAAGTACTCGTATCAAATGAAGTGATTATCGACCCATCAACATTTGATATTATATTTACTTTCAGCACAAAAGAATATTGTTTACATTAATAATTAAGCAATGTGTATTTAAATACTTTCAATGTTAAAATAATATAGGTATATATGGTTATGCATGAGCGGTGTGTACACAAAATGAAATACAAAAATTGTATTTTCAACCAGAAACCCCGTGTGGTGAGAACATGGGGTCACAGAACCCCCACAGCAGGCGCCACAGACCCCTGTTGTGAGATCGTGGGGTCATAGAACCCCGGTGGAGGCACAAAAAAACCCGTGTGTGTGAAAAAGTGGGGTCATAGAACCCCTGGAGCAGGTGCAAGAGTTTTGAAACGTGATCCTTTATCCTTGTTGCTCGTACACTCTCGAGCTCGGTCTAATGTTGCTCGTGCAACTGTCGAAATCTGACTGACACTTATGCGTGCTTCCGTGAGCAAATTATATAGTAACCCCCACAACCATGGCAGTTTCTGCAGATACTACTACAGCCCAAGTTTAAAAGACGTAGGCAGTAGTTAGTTTCTGTAGTAACCTGTTGTACCAGACAACTATAATTAGTATAGAATTGCACAATATTTAGCACAAGAATTATTAATAATATTAATAATTCTAATAATATTAAGAAAATATTACCTGACGTATGTTTATTGGAATATACATATATACATATAAATTATAATGATATAAGAGTTTGAAATACAACACGATGCGCTACGGTACCATACGTCTATTCGATTCAATTGCTCCCTTGCGACTACAACATCATGCTATCTGCGTTCGGTGCAGTGCGCTAATACGGAGGCCAACAAAATATCACTGTAACACTTAAAAAAGTTTAAAGTTCCATTTATATCACTGTACTGTGAAAATGTTCATACTTCCAGCAGCATTCGTATTCCCATCAAAGAATTTACGGAATAAGGAAAAGGAATCTAAAGTAATTTTCCGTAGTTCCATACATCTTTATCTCGAATAATTTTCTAAAACATTCAAAGTACTAGACATTTTCACACTTCGAATCTCATGTCGATTTCTAAAATAATCCTAGTTCGATGTAATATAGAACGTGATTTTATGAGATAGATTAGAAGTTCGCAGCCATTAGCTCGATATTGTCATCAGTTTACAGTACTTTACCGATGATAATACCGATTGCCCAGGCCTCACCACGAGGAGGTTGCTGCGAGTGGAGGCCCAAGGCAGGTAGATGGAATCACAAGTTCTACATCTTCCCACC